CTTTTGAAGATTTTCAATGAATTTATATGAAATTTTAATGATTATACCAAAAATCGATTTTTTATCAAGAAAAATTAATATAGAGAATATACTGAGAATTAAATTGTCATTGTGACTTATTTGTCATGTATTTGCTATTTTTATTTATATGGTCTTATCTTTATGACTAATCAAAAAATCTTATTTCAATGTTTAAATTAATCAATTAAAAGCTTACAATGTCCACTTGTTTTTTTTATAAACTACATTTCTAATTAAATGTAAATGCATCGCAAATATATTTTGATTAAAGTAACAGTATATTTTTTTAACCCTTTTTTATCTGGTCTTAAAATTTTGATCAGGGGTGTATATTCGTGAAGTTTCTCTATGTGTCTGTGTCGACGTGTGTTCTTTCGAATATCCAAGATATAAGTGTGTAAGTGTCTGTCTATGTGTATATGTTTTTGTCTGTGTGTGTGTGTGAGTCTGTATGTTTCTCTCTGTGTGATTAATTTTTATTCGTTAATCAAGTTTACCGTTCATTTGACTTTTTAAATAAACGATATAATTTATGACAATCCGAATTTCGAAGCCTAACTGAAAAACCTTAAATATTGCTTTTTGTATGTAATTCTATGATAATTCCTTTTTCATGATGTGGGGTTCAAATGGTAATATATATTCGTAAGTGTGTTTTTTTGTGCGTACGTGCATGTTTGTGTTTGTTTAGCCTCCGTATTCAGGGATCTGTCTGTCCTTAGATAATATTAAATAGATTCAAACCAAAGAAAAAGTTTTTTTTTTTTTTTTTTTTTTTAAAAATAATTTTTAATTGTTAATGAATTGTTTAAGTTTTTTTTTAAGGCATGTTATAATCCAAATTTCAATGAAAATATTTTTTTCAAACTTTCGGGACAGAGAGATGTGTGGACGTAATTCTTAGAAACTCAACACCGGGGAAAACAATATTATCAGTTATTCCTTTTTACCTTCTTAAGTATTTTAAAAACGCAGGATTTTTCGTTTGAACGTTAATATGACTTCATGTTTGTAAACAAGAGAAGAAAAATTAAGTTGTTTCTTCAATTTTTTCTGATTTATTTAGTTTTCAAATACATTGTTCGTTGTTTGCACATCAAGATGGCGTCATAAATGCATTTAACATACCAGTGCCAACATTGACGAAAACACTTCAGTTTGATCGCCTTCCGGTCTTTTGGACGGGATCAATGTGTGGTATCTTTTCTCGTTATAATTAATGGATAAAACTCTCGCTCCAAGGTAAATGATAAAAAAACCGAAAAAAAATTTGAACGTTGAAACATTTCTCTTGGTATAGTTCATATCTATCTATCTATCTATCTATCTATCTATCTATCTATCTATCTATCTATGTCTGTTCATATCTATTAATCTTGCTCTATTCATATCTATCTATGAATTTATCTATCTCGGTATGTTCATATCTATCTATCTATCTATCTATCTATCTATTTATCTTCATCTATTCATCTATCTATCTATCTATCGTTGCGCTTAAAAGGAATCAGAAGGAAGCGCAATATCGACATTAAATAAAATCAGATGATCTTTTCAAACTTTTTCAATTTGAAGAAAAAATTCTTTTCCCCCCAAAAAATAAAAAAGAGCTTGTTTATCGTCTCGTCAAAGAATATATAAATATTTAGATAGATAGATAGATTAAATAGATAGAAGATATAAAAAAAATTTGATATATTGATAGATTTATATTTTTTTATCTCTTTAGATATGAACAGACAAACATTATCAATAACATTGCAAGATATTTTTTGATGTAATTTTGGGAAATATAAATGTTCAAATATGATGTCAATTTTATTTTAATTTTTTAATAATTCTGACGACAAAAAAGCGTTGAATCATTATATATATATTAAATATAAATATATATATATATATATTCCATATATTTTTTTTTATATGAAGAAAAAAAAAGAAAATAAGATATATAATATAATGTCCTCATTTATATTTTTATTCTTATAAAATAGTGCTTTTGTAAATTTACAGAGCATAAATATAATAAATTAACTGATTTAAAAATATGTTTCCATCGCTACACAGGAATTTTTCAAAACAGAAACTAACAACTTCAGTTATATAATTATATCATTATATCAATCACTAGTGCATTTGAAAATGAAACAGAATTAGTGCTTTTAATTTAATTTAAACTTAATTTGTCTATATTTCTGAGATGAGGCATTGTATATCTTATTGGGATTATTGTCCTCATCTTTGTCGCCATATTTATTACAACGTTTTCTTACTCCCGCTTTCTTTGTTTTCTCTTTTTTTCCCTCACTGGGGTAGACCGTTCTAGTTCTACGTGCCATGTTTAATTTAATGGATGTCAGTTATCAGTTATCTCCTGTTAATTTCCCTCTAAATGTTCACCACTGCCTTAAACGGGTATTGAACTCACACTCTATGGGTCCTGTCACTGGATCCACCCAACGCCTTTATCCACTGTGCCATGTGAGGACACCTGGGTAAGAATTTCTGGGCATTATAAATCTAATGTCTTTAGCAACCGTTTTTACCAGTGCTCATATTGCAATTTTTTGCTGTTATCATTTTATTTTATTTTTTACCAGAACTCATATTGCAACTATGTTGTTATCATTGTTTTTCTCTGGCACTCCTTATTACTGGTTCCCATATTGTATTCATTTCTATCCTTGGTCGGCTCAGGAGATTTTTGTGGCCTAGCATATGTGCTGATTCCTTAAGTTTACGAATTTTCCAATGGTGTTCCTTGTCTAAGATCTCAACCTCATCCCACAGGGGGCGGTGATCTCCCTTCTCTCTCCATATGTGGTCAGCCACGCCTGATTTTTTTCCACTTTCCCTCGTGTTACAGCTTTCTGGTGTTCTTGAAGCCTTACCTTAAGGGGGCGGCCTGTCTCCCCTTTATATTTCTTTCCGCAGCTGCATGGGATAGCGTACACACAGTCTTTAGTCATGTTCTCCTCTATGGGGGGGGGTCTTACTCGGGAGAGATATCTGCGAAGTGTCGTCAAGCTTTTGAAGGTTGTCCTGATGTTATATGGACCGCAGATCCTTTGTATTTTCTCTGATAACCCCTTCACATAAGGCAGGCAGACTGTTTTCTGAGTGTTGTTGTCCTCCTCTTGTACCCGCCTATCCCAGTTTTTTGGGGCTGCTGCCATGTACCCAGGGTAGTTGTTACGTTGTAGGCTACTGATTATACTGACCAATTCTTTATCTAATGTCTCTGGGTCGCCACTTATGACTTTTGCTCGGTGTTGTAAGCAGCGGTCAATCCTTTTCTTTACGCTGTATGGATGGTGGGAGTTGAAATTGAGATACTGTCCGATGATTGTCGGTTTACGGTATACAGATGTCTTGAACCCATGCTCTTTTCGAGATATTAGTACATCCAGGAATGGGAGTGTGCTTTTACTCTCTTTCTCCATTGTGAACTGTATCGAAGGTCTTATTGAGTTCACATGGTCCAGTAGAACCTGAATATCTTCCTGGTGTGGCCAGAGTATGAAGATGTCATCAACGTACCTTAACCATATAGTTGGCTTTAGAGATATAGATTCTAATGCGATTTCCTCAAATTATTCCATGTATATATTCGCCATTGCTGGTGATAATGGTGAACCCACTGTTAAGCCCTCCTGTTGATATATGTGTGATCCCAATAGCCCGAATAATGTAAATACTGTATATTTAATTTGTTTTTGAAGCATGGTAATTCCTGTGTAGCGATGGAACCATATTTTTAAATCAGTTAATTTATAATATGTATATATATATATATACATATCTATCTATCTATCTATCTATCTATCTATCTATATATATATATATATATATATATATATATAGAGAGAGAGAGAGAGAGAGAGAGAGGAGAGAGAGACAGTCATACATAGAGATTGACAGACTTACAGATAGATAGAAATGAACAGACTGAGATAGATAGATAGATAGATAGATAGATAGATAGATAATGAACAGACTGAGATAGATAGATAGATAGATAGATAGATAGATAGATAGATAGATAGATAGATAATGAACAGACTGAGATAGATAGATAGATAGATAGATAGATAGATAGATAGATAGATAGATAATTAATAGACTGGGATAGTTAATGAATATAGACCAATAGATTTGCAGAGATTTAGATAGCTCGACAGACAGACAGTAATATAGATAGATATGAACACACTGAAATAGTATTGCAAGATATTTTGCGTAATTTTGGTAAATATGTCTGTGCAAATGAGAAGTCAGTATTATTTTCATTTTTGCCTCATTTACACGACAATTTATCGCACCTTGTATATTGTATTTTTATACTTACTCGTATATTTTTGTAATGGCCATGATACGTGCAAACAAATTCTATTTTCATGTGTTTTATCAAGAAATATATCTTTATTATCCAATTCTGCATTGCCGCCCACGTTATGATTAACCCGCCATAAATCTCTATTGGTCTCGTTTTCGCGCCGAAGAAACATCTAGAAGCCAAACGTATTTTTTGCTGAAAAATCTATCAAGCCTCCTATAACCTGTCCTCACATTCTTCTTCCCCTCCCTCAAACCCATCAAGAAATTCTACTATATATATATATATATATATATATATATGGCTTTGAAGAGAAAGAGGAGGATATTACGTAAAGCATCGCAATTACTTTTAACCATGCCTGTCTGCGGAAGAACGGCACAATATGAAAATGTCGCTCTTCAATAATTGACCAAGGTTGCAACACTTAGATATCATCATCATCATCATCATCCCGTTGAATTTTCTAATCGTAGGAGGGGGAAGGAACGAATGCAGAAGACACAAACTTTTTTCCACATCGGTCTATTAATGGCAGCTAGCAACAATTCTGTTACCGTCATATCTATCTATCTTGGACTGTTCATCTATGTATGTATGTATGTATGTATGTATGTATGTATATATCTATCACGGGTTGTTCATGTATCTATCTCTATCACTCTCTTATCTATCTATCTATCTATCTATCTATCTATCTATCTATGTATCACAGTCTGTTGATATCTATCTAGCTAGATATAAGTCTGTTCATATCTATTTATCCCTCTCCTCTATCTATCTATCATCTATCTATCTATCTATCTATCTATCTATCTATCTATCTATCTATCTTTCTATCTATCTCTCTATCTATCACTGTCTTTTCATATATATATATATATATATATATATATATATATATACACCTAGTGAGCCAGACAAACCTACCTAGGTTTCACCTAAACGGATCGTCAGGGAAAGTTTGGCTTTTTCGAAACGAGTCTAGTTATATATATATATATATATATATATATATATATATATATATATATATTTTTTTTAATCATCATCATCATCATTAACCCGTTGACTTTTTTATCCGTAAGGCTGATCCGAATGCAGAAGCCACACTAACACTTTTCCACAACGATTTATCTATTACTCTCTTTCCTACTCTCTCTCTCTCTCTCTCTCTATATATATATATATATATATATATATATATATATATATATATATATATATATATATATATATATTCCCTTGACTTTTGTAATTGCAGGGCGGATCCGAATTCAGAAGCCACACTAACACCTTTCCGCAACGATCTATCTATTACTCTCTTTCCTACTCGCTCTCTCGCTCTCTCTCTCTCTCTCTCTCTCTCTCTCTCTCTCTCAAATCTGTATATATATATATCGTAGGGCGGATCCGAATTCAGAAGCCACACTAACTCTTTTCCACAACGGTCTATCAACGGCAGCTATCAGTGATTCTGGTAGAGTCAAACCTTTCCATTGTTTTGACATTGTCCAACCAGTTTTTGCGTTGGCGTCTTCTCCTACGTCCACCTTCAATGGCGCGTTTCATGATTTTCTTGCACAGGCTGCCGTGTCTTGTAAATTATCCAAACCACGCCTTTTCTTCCTTTGATAGTGGTGAAAAAGGTTCCTGGTGTCCACAAAACTTTCAACCCTTTTTCGCACAAACTCATTGTTTTTTTTCCTAATAAAAAATTCCAAGGAGTTTTCTCATGCATTTGTTCTCAAACGCTTGAATCTCTCTGTTTCTACCAACTGTGTCCACGTTTCACATCCATGCAGAAGAATGGAGACTACCAGCGATTTGTACAGTTTGTAATTTGTTTGAAAGCTGATTTTGCTCCTTCATAATCTTAACAATTTGGCCATCGTTGCCATGGCTGTGATGTGCCCTGATTTCCAATTTGCAACTTGGAAGCATTTCGTGGACGTCAACCGTCAAGCATGTTTCGAGATCTGATGATAGAGTTTAATTTGTTCTTTTCTGTTGTTATTTAAAGAGCCGCCTCGACTATCATTTCACTTACGACCGTATCACGTTAAAACACCGGATCCGGTAAAATCACCATAGTTAAGCAACGTCGAACCTAATCAATATCTAGATGAGTAACCGCTTGGGAATACCAGGTGTTGTAAGCCTGGATGTGTGTGTAGTATAGCTGGCTTACGGCCATACCATGTTGAAACACCAGTTCTCGTACGACCACCAAAGTTAAGCAACGTCGAACATGGCCAGTACCTAGATTGGTTACCGCTTGGTTATACGAGGTGCAGTAAGCTTGGGGATAATAAGCGTACGGCCATATTACACTGAAGAACCTGTTCTGGTACGATCACCGAAGTTAAGCAACATCGATGCTGGTCGCTTGATAATACCAGGTGCCGTAAGCTTGTACTTCCTGGTGGTCTGCTGGATAATAATTCAGAATTTGAAATTGTCGTGTTCAGTATAGAGATCATTCAAAATATATTGAGAAATAAGGAAATGTTTGCTACTGAATGAATTTATTTTGGTGGCTTATGGCCCTATCGCGGTACGATTATTAAATTTAAGCCCCGTCTGGACTGGTTACCTTGAATGGTTATAGTTTGGGAATACCTGACTTTTGAATGCGCGTGTGGTGTAACAAGCTTACGGCCATATCAGATTAAACCACCGACTCCCTTAATATCACAGAAATTAAACAACGTTAGAGTGACCACTTGGAAATAACAGGTGCTGTGAGTTTGTATATACAGGTGGTGTAATGGAAACTGGCTTGTGGAAATACATTTGGTAAAGTTATGAATCTACCACTTCCATCAGCTATGGAATAATTAGTAGGATTTGTATCAGTAAATCATTTTCATCGGCCAGAAATTCTTGAAATCTAAAAGTATTTTCTGGCTTGAAGCCCTTCATCGCCAACTACTGTTTGGCTTATCCTATTTTGGTAGATTTATAGGCATAAATAATAGTCTCTAGTCCTGCAAACTTCCGATGTTTGTTTAGAAGGCGGATATTGGTAGCAGTTTGGAGAAATGTCCGTTTCGATTCGGTAGTGGTAGTTTGAGGTCAGACCTTGCCCGTAGTAGTAGTTATCTCAGATATTCCAATCAGGGTCAATTTACTGTGCTTTTCTTGGCCTTCAGAAGGGCAGAACATATTAGCAAATAACCTCTTAACTACTTCACGTGTCACGCATTGCTGATTTCTCTTGTCTTTTGTTTCGAATCTTGCCGTCTAGGGCAAAGGCGTGAGCTTTAGAAAGGTCCATTCTTTTTCTTTTTTTATATATATAACGGAAGTTATGCGTGGGGCTTATCTTATTTTGGTAGATTGATAGGCATAAATAATAGACTCTAATCCCGCAAACTTCCGGCGATTTACGGCCGGGTTCAGTTTTTTCTTCTTCTTCCTCTTTTTATTTGAAGGTTGCCTTCTTGTTACTTGAGACAAAAGTATAGAGAGAAGATTAGAGTGAGCGGTAAAGAAAGAGATAAGGTTTTTAATGGAAAACGCAAATACTTGAATTTGAATTCTTCTTTTGTTTATATATTTTTTATACTATATTTTTATCGAGACTCACTACAGGCTAAACATACGACTCATTTCTATTCTTAATATCGTAAAACATTTTAGTGAAATATATGTACGACATTGATAATATAATGTATAATACGGAACAAATTTTCAAAAGAATCTATATAAGTATGGCTGTACTACGAGGTCATATTATACATAATCCGTTCCCAGCCAATTATTTTGGGAAAAACGTTTCATTTTTCAGAGGAATTGTTTTTAATATAGTAACTAAGAAACTGAGTTCCCTTAAAGTAGCCGACCGATGGCTAACACCTCTACCAGACGGATGAGTTGACAATTGGACTCGTTTCAAGATCAGAAGGGCATAAAAAGAATCAAGATAAACGTATAAACACGTCTTCATCTGTGAGGAGATTGTCCAGCATTCACTGCCATATAGGAGGGTGATATTAGATAACATTTCAGTACTCTTTTCTTTGTTTCTCTTGCTTCAAGTCTCTTCTTCATCTGTGAGGAAATTGTCTAGCATTCACTTCCATATAGGAGGAATGATATTACATAACAGTTCAGTACACCCTTTCTTTGTTTCTCTTGCTTCAAGTCTCTTCTTCATCTGTGAGGAGATTGTCCAGCATTCACTGCCATATAGGAGGACTGATATTACATAACAGTTCAGTACTCTTTTCTTTGTTTCTCTTGCTTCAAGTCTCTTTTTCATCTGTGAGGTGATTGTCCAGCATTCACTGCCATATAGGGGGGCTGATATTACATAACAGTTCAGTACTCTTTTCTTTGTTTCTCTTGCTTCAAGTCTCTTCTTCATCTGTGAGGAGATTGTCCAGCATTCACTGCCATATAGGAGGACTGATATTACATAACAGTTCAGTACACTTTTCTTTGTTTCTCTTGCTTCAAATCTCTTCTTCATCTATGAGGAGATTGTCCAGCATTCACTGCCATATAGGAGGACTTATATTACATAACAGTTCAGTACTCTTTTCTTTGTTTCTCTTGCTTCAAGTCTCTTTTTCATCTGTGAAGAGATTGTCCAGCATTCACTGCCGTATAGGAGGACTGATATTACATAACAGTTCAGTACTCTTTTCTTTGTTTCTCTTGCTTCAAGTCTCTTCTTCATCTGTGAGGAGATTGTCCAGCATTCACTGCCATATAGGAGGACTGATATTACGTAACAGTTCACTACACTTTTCTTTGTTTCTCTTGCTTCAAGTCTCTTCTTCATCTGTGAGGAGATTGTCCAGGATTCATTTCTTTGTTTTAAACGAAATTTTTGTCACTTAATTCTATTGCTAAGCTTTCGGAATGTCTTTTTGTCCTTCCCAATATGTCTTCGAACGTCAGTGCGCGCAATATCTATTAGAACATTTCACTGATATTCAATTTAGTTTCATTTTAGTATCCCCGTATAGTAACTCAACGTTTTGCTGATATACATATTTTTTTTTCTTGTAGTTTATGCTATCTTCCGTAAATACATTACCCACCATGTATCTGAAAAGGGTGTTTTTAAAGTTCTCGTCAAATTTTTCCATCTCCCCCTCTTGTGGGTAGGTCTTGGATATTGTGCAAATAAGCAAATGGCTGTATACACCGACTCCTGTCTCTTTCCGAAAGTCTTTTAGTTGACGGAGGCGAAAAATATGAAAGAAAGTAAATAAAGCAGAATTATTCGTTTTGTTTCAATTAATTTGCACAAGGATCTATCTATCTATCTATCTATCTATCTATCTATCTATCTATCTATCTCTGCTCATTATCTATCTGTCGATCTGTCTGTCTGTTTGTCGGTTTGCCTATCTATCTATCTATCTATTTATCTTTGCTCATTATTTTTCTGTGTCCGTCTATCTATCTATCTATCTATCTATCTATCTATCTATCTATCTATCTATCTATCTCTGCTCATTATGTTTGTGTATCTATCTATCTATCTATCTATCTATCTCTCTCTCTCTCTCTCTATATATATATATATATATATATATATATATATATATATATATATATATATGTGTGTGTGTGTTCATTAACTATATAAATATATATATATATATATATGTTCTTTAAACATCTAGCTATCTAGCTATGCCTGTTTATATGCTTATATATATATATGTGTGTGTGTGTTCATTAACTATATAAATATATATATATATATATGTTCTTTAAACATCTATCTATCTAGCTCTGTTCATTAACTGTCTATCCGTCTATTTCTGTTCATTATCTCTATCTATAAAATACTAAAAAAGCATAAATAATAACGGAATTATTGTTTCAATTTGCACAAACTCTAACATTTCCACGCTCAGACCTTAGAGGTCAGCCTCAGAAGGTCTGAGCCACAATTCACTGTTACTAAAAACTAAAAGACTTTTTGACTATTTAACAAAAATCTACGTCTGAATCTACGATCAAATCTCAACCCATCATATTTTTTTTTAAATTCTTTCTTGATCGAACCGTAGACTTTTTAGCAACTTTTCCTGTGTACCTATTTCTGTTCAAACTTTATTTTCTTGATATCTATTTCTTAAATACTGTTAAAATCGGCATAAATCTATTTCCATTTTCTTCTCTCTTTTCTAATCAAATCGCTGCTAATATCGTATTCTGTTGATGTTCCATCGTTTGATTAAATCGATTTGTCTTAATCAGTTCATATGTGTCTATCGCAGTTTGTTTCTCAGCCGATTAACATCTATTCATCTTTCCCGCGCAGACAGCGATATTAAAGTGTCAAGGTATGATCTTTATGTGGAAACAATTCTAATGTTTGGCATTTAATTATGACCTCTTTGTAGATTGTCTGTAAATAAATACGGGTAAATATTGAAAATATATATTTAAAAAAAAAAGAAATATAGATATGTATAAGAAAGACTGAAAACAGAAAGACTATATTGAACCCAATATATATATATATATATATATATATATATATATATATATATATATATATATTATTTTTTTAAAATATGATTCCAAATCGCGACATAAGAAGTCCCGTGTTTCAAAAACAAGAGCCGAAAACTTCAATATAATTATTTAAATTAAATTGAGTTAAAATAAAATCTGTTCCATCTTCAAGCGAAATTTTTTTTGAATCTTCCAAAAAAAAATTTCGCTTGAAGATGGAACAGAGCTTATTTTAACTCAATTTAATTTAAATAATTTAAATAATTATATTGAAGTTTTCGGCTCTTGTTTTGAAACATGGGACTTCTTATGTCGCGATATGGAATCATATTTTTAAATAAATAATTATATTTATGCTCTAATTTTGTATCGAGCGCTATTTTTTAAAAATAATAACTAAAATACTAAGGGACTTTGGATTATTTACCAAACCAGTTCCTTCTTATTTTCTATATATTTTCATATATATATTTATATATATATATATATATATATATATATATATATATATATATATATATAGATAGATAGATATGTGAAGAAATATAGTTTTAAGGTGTGCTATATTTATGGGATAAAGTGCTCAATATCAGAGATAGAGCGTATGTAAATATAAATATAAAAGTGAACATTAAGTCAACACTCAGAGGCGACAGGCTGTTTCATGCCGGTAAATATCGTTAATGCTGTTTATTATAAACAGAGCATTTACTTAGATTTTATCTATTTAAAGAAGGTATAAACATAAAAAATGTCTTAAAATAATTGTCGGACTTTGTCCATTTAATAATGTGTGACTTCATTTGTTTACATCTGGATACGCATTGATTAGATATAAATGTACGAGTGAAAATCATGGAAAATTGTAGTTTAAAAACAGTAAAATCGACCCTGCTAACCGGAACGCTCCTCTGTGGCTAAATCGGTAAAGCACGTCAGGCTATATGACGGTTCTGTGTAGGATACAGTATCGATTCCTGTCGGAGGATGCATATTTTCTATGAAAGTTTCTCGGACATTCAGGCCAGTAAATGTTAATTATAAGCAGAGCATTTCCTTAAATATTTTTATCTATAATAAAAACGTATAAACATAAAAATGTCTTTTCATATATATATATATATATATATATATATGTGTGTGTGTGTGTGTGTGTGTATGTGTGTGTGTGTGTGTGTGTCCACATTAATTGTGACATATGCGTAAAATTCTGCTTATCTTTCGCCGGCTTCAAAAGCCATTTGCGTAAATGTGCAAAACCTAGTGTGCACCCGAATAATGGCACTGTAAACAAAACTGATCGGTTATGCCAATTCTGTGGCAAAATTTGTCGCAGTTTGGCTGGCCTGAAGAGTCACCTGTGAATACATAGAATTTGAGGGGAGTTGACATGAAATAAAGGAGGTGGTCACGCTCAAAAAACCAAGAGGACAACCACGATATATATATATATATATATATATATATATATATATATATATATATATATATGGATATATTGGGGCAGCAGATCATCCTTAAAATATATATTATTAAATATAACAGACAATGAATGTCCATTATGTCAGATCCTGAGCCATTCTAAACTTCGTATGGTTGCTTTAATTTCTGGTGAAAATAAAGACAAAAATTCTCTGACATTTGGATATTTCTCTATTAAGCTGTTCCTTGATCTAAGATTTCCATTCACATGAGCCATCTTTGCTGTGGTTATGAGGACATTTAAATATATTCATCATCAATCTACATATCTATAAATCTACCATTCGTCCATGCTTAGAATCTTGCTGCCACATAGGGTCTGGTGACCCTGCTACATACCTTCAGCTCCTTGATAATATCCAAAGAAGAATCAGCAATATTTTCAGCCCTGATGTGACGGCTCGGCTTCAGCCACTTTTCTACCTCTGTAAGTTTGCCTCTCAGTGGCTCACCTAATTTTTAAAAAATTAATCACAGTACTCGACAGTCGCCGAGATCTCCTCAATTCACTGTTGAAATGGCTATATTTTGTATTTTTTATACAATTAAATATCGGTCTTTGCTATGGTACATAGAGTTGTTGAGATTAATTGCTAGATTCATTACTATATTGACGTCGAGATTTCATCCATTTACGGTTGACCTGGCTAAATGTAAACGTATACTTTATGCTAACAATTTCTTGCGCTTCTCGCTTGTGGCAATCCCTTCCAGCTCCATGCATTCTAGTCAACTTCAATCTGTAAAAATTTAAATGCAATGCCAGTCGCTATCTACTGTTCTCCTGATTACTCTTTCCTCTTCACGCTAATGTTTCTATTTCTAATTCTCCCACACTTAGTAATCCCTTGCGTCTTGCTGGCTTTATTGCCTTGATTAAAGGACTCCCTTCCGGCTCCACGCATTCCAGCTAATTTTAATCTGCAAAAATTTCAATCGCTATCTGCCGTCCTGATTACTATTTTCTTTTCTCGCTCATTATTAATGTTTCTGTTTCTAATTCTCCCACACATTGTGTTGTAGAGTAAACGAATTTTTTTTCTTTTCCCGTGTGAGAAACGAATCCCTCGTCGCCAATGTTGTAGAGTAGTTTTCACAGTGGAGGCTTGTATTTCAATAAGTCGTCCTAAATTAGGTTCAACGTACAAAACGTTAGGGACTTGGAAATAAGAGTTAAGGATGCAGCAATCTAGTTGTGATGGTTGATACTTCAATGTCCGACATCGACTGACTCGCTCAACACCACTGATCCCAACTGGCGACAGCTACTACTACTTATTATGTGTGAGAGAGTCTATTAATAATAAATTAGGTACATCAGGTATAACACATTGTAACCCTTAGTGTCTTAGTGGTTTTGCTGCCTTGTTTGGGGTGATATCGATTTAAAAAAATGATGCATTCTTACGCAGATATGAATGCTAACAGCAACATCACGTTAAAACACCGCTTCCCGTATTATAAACAAAGTTCAGCAACGTCGAGCCTGGTCAGCACCTAAATGGGGGACCACTTTGCAAAAAAGCTATCATCTTGGATGTTCGGGTGTAATGGATAATCTCTGGAATTGTTCATCGGAGACCAAGTTCCAATTCTAGATTGGTTTTTATATTCACTTACGTGCAAGTACCATTGGGGAATGTCTTAATCTACCTATGGGTTAATTAGTTGGACTTGCATCACTAAAACAATTATTATTTCCCCACCCCGACCCCAAAAAGAAAATTGCATATAAAATATTTACATTTCGGCATAAAACAAAAAACGACGAACACCCAACCAACACAGAGCTATATAAACTAAAAACAGACTGATAAAGAAACACACACACACACACACACACATACATATATATATATATATATATATATATATATATATATAATGGACTCTCCCATTAGTTTTTTCGACATGAGAATCTGACATCATAATAGATTCAAAGTTATGAAATTTTGTGCGATAATCTTAAGTGTCACTATAAGACCCTTAAAAAAGAGATTTATTTAGAAACGAGGTTATCATTATATGTGTTAATTTAAGATATATTGTGGGATGGGATCATTGTTAGATTGGCTGACCTTTTAGATCTTGCTATCGTTTCTTGAAGACGATTCATGCACAAGCAGATTGAAAATGCTGAGTCCACTAAAAACGTTGATCTCCATTCTAAAATTAAGGCTCCAATAGGGATTATATATATATATATATATATATATATATATATATATATATATAATTTTTTTTTAAATATGATTCCTTTGCTACGTAAGAGTTCTCATGTTTCAAAAACGAGAGCCGAAATCATCCAAATAATTATTAAAATTAAGTTGAATTGAGGTGTTTAGACTCGTTTCATCTTCAAGCGAAATTTTAGGAATAAGATATCTTTTAATTTACGTGTGTTTTTAGGCATGGTCCGTTATAACATTCGTTATTGTGGGAGTGGCTAGGCGAGTTATCTTTATTAAGTGGTCAGAGAGTTAATTCATATCTATAGATTCATCATCTTCTGAGAGGTTTTGCTAAGGTTGGGTAGGGTATCTATTTCAAGCCTAATGTTTGCGGTCCTCCTTTAGTTGGTTCCCAGTGAGGGATATTTTTATGGCGCGCCTACAAGTCGTTATGTGTCGGGAGGATTGTGTTTTATTATTGTCCATTGATTATCTATTTATTTATTTGTTTATTCAAGTTATATACAAACTGAATTTCAATTTATTTTTTTGTTTTTGTTTTTTTTTACGACTACAGATGTGTACTTATGTAGCGAAGGAATCATATTTATAAACAAAACATTATTATTAAAATAAAGCTCTACTTATGTATGGAGCACTGTCTTTTTTAAAAATAAAAGCAAAAATACTAAGGAACTCCGGATTATGCACCCAACGTGTTCTTTTCTATTTTCTGCATACCTTTCTTTATATATATATATATATATATATATATATATATATATATATATATATATATATATATATATATATATTCAACCTTTTCGAAACGACAGACAAGGTGCTGTGGCTTCACTTATTTTTATGTAATTTCTCATGTGTTCTTAGATTTTTTTTCTTTTCCCAGCATAAATCATATAAAAATTGTTCGAATGTTTTGAAAGCGCTTTCGGCTATACGTTTAGGCAAAATCAAGGATTAATCTTATTTTACTTTTAACTGAATCTATGCATTGTTTTATGTATTTATCTAAAGTTATCGGATTTTCTTTTTTACAAACATAGTCAGTGCGCTGTGGCCGTTCATAGTTGATGTTACTGAGTATTGTCTTTGCCTTTTTTTATAAATAATGCTTCCATTATTTTTACTCTTTTTGTACATTTCAATGAGGCTATTATTTTATAACAAGTATGGAAAATAAAACATTCCAATAACTCTAGATAAATACATAAATGTTATGTTAATTTACCCACGCACGCATGGATACTCCCAGCTATAAATAGGAGCAGGTATTGCCTTTTAGAGAGGGAGGTTTCTAGCAGTCAGCTCTAACAGTCGGGCCGAACATTCTTGCTCTAACACTCTCGTTTGGATATGTTTGTATTACTGTTTCTGTTAATATATTTGGTTAACTCAGATCCTCTCTTGTGTCTTTATTTTGGGCCCTAACAAGGCCACAAAATAAGAAAAAAATCCATATATTCAGTTAAACGCAAAATAAAATTCCTCCTTGATAATGGCTTGTAAATTCGGAAACAATGAGAGCCATTCCCTGCGGCTGCTCGGTCTCACGTTGACTGCTGACCTGCGATTGGAATAAATACATTGAGTCAATTGCCTCGTCCACTGCGAGGAAAGTTGGCTCCCTGATCCGCGCTAGGAAGTTTTTCTCCCCTGAGTCGATCCTCCAGATCGACAAATCCACAATTCGCCCTTGCATGGAGCATTGCTGCCATATATGGTCTGGTGCCCCTTCTGTTTGCCTCGGGGTTCTTGATAGGCCCCAGAGGCGGATATGTAATATAATTGACCCTGTTCTGGCGTCTCGTTTACAGTCACTTTCTCACAGACGCGCCGTCGCCTCCCTCTGTCTGTTCTACAAATACTTTCATGGAAATTGCTCAGAGGAGCTGCATTCGCTGGTTCCCAGACGTCATGTTCCTGCGCCATACGAGGCTGGCATCCCCCTCTCACCCCTTCACTGTCGAAACTCCTAAATGTAGCCGTCTCTTCTACGCTAATAGCTTCATGCCTCGCACCTCTCGCCTGTGGAACTCTCTTCCCTTCTCCTGTTTCCCTGTGAGCTATAATCTCCAGATATTCATGTGTAATGTCAATCGACATCTCCAGTTGCCTTGATCTATCCACTACCCTCATCCTTTCTTCTATCACTCCTATCTGATCTTGCTCTAAATTTTCTGTAACCTCTTGCGTCTTAGTGGCTTCCCGCCTTGCTTGGGGTGAAATGCTTAAAAAAAAAAAGAAATAGCGGATAACAGGAAGATTGTTGCTCAAAGTTCCCAGCCATTTAACATGAAATATTTTTAAATAAAGGCAATCTTGCGTTTACAATCATTTACATTACAAAAAAAGAAAAGGATTACTCTGATTAGTATCATATTATTAACTATAATTTTAATTAATAAAAGTTTCAAAGCACCACTTCGGTTCTTAAAAGCTGGTTATGAAAGTTGATTTAACCCTTTAAGAACAGATATGTTTACAACAAATGTATTTCCTTGTTAACAGAAGACCGTTTAGGCTTTTGTTGCAATTCCATTGTCATGGCAACGTGCCGCCGCTTCTCCCTGTTTAACGTATCAGTGAGTTGAAGGAGGAAGGAGTGATGATGTCGCTTCCATTCTACCAATAATGCAAAAGCCTCTTTAAGGGTCCCGAAAAACCAAAACCACCCCTCTATGCCCTCTCTCTCTCTCTCTCTCTCTCTCTCTCTCTCTCATTAGAGAGATTTCAGAGAAAGTGAAACGTTCCAAGAGTGTTGTAGGCAGGGTTGTTAAATCCTACAATGATACTGGCAAAATAGTGCTTTTAAAACCGGCAGACCCCGCAAAACTTCGGCAAGAGAAGATCGAATAATGCAGCGTATGTCATTAAAGGACCGGTTTAAGTCTTGCACAGAAATTAAAAGGGTTATGAATAGTACCTCATGTGTTAATGTGTCAAGACAGACTGTTTGTAGACGACTGCAAGAAATAGGGCTGTTTAATCGAACCCCAGGAACCCACTTGTTAGTTCACTTTCTCTGAAATCTCTCTAATGGTGTGCTTTTCCTTGTGTAGCTTCACAATAGCTTGTCTCACAAAGTAATCAAGTTTTTGGCATTTCGCCATGATGCCAGCTGATGCAACGTTTACAAATGACTAAGTAAGACTTATTCTTTAAAGGAAATAAAAAAATTTGAATATAGCATACTGTTTACATTGTTTTTTCTCAATTTTGTCCCTTAATTTTGGACGATCCTATTTTGAAAATAAATAAATAATTGTTATAATTCTTTTTCTATCCTTTGCAAATGATTCAAATTTTAGTATGTTATTATGGATGATAACGACTACCAGTTGTCAAAATTTCAGCTTTTCACAGTTGTTATTTCTAACAAATATTAGGTTTTAAAATTTTGTCCCTTAGTTTTGTACGCTACTGTATAAGTAAACAAATAAGTCACACCATTTTTTTCCCTTGAAACCAACCTTTCTTTTTTAAAAAAAATAAACAGACGGTAATTAAAAAAACTCTGCCAAATTTGACACGTGTTCATTATTTTTTAATTTTAATATATAACACTGTTTCGAAAGAACCTCAAAGGACAAAAAAAAAGTTAAAATTTTGATTTAACCCTTTAAAATTTTCACCATATTCTGCTAGAGATAAGAATAAATAATTTATGCTTTCAACAAATTAGTTTTTCTTGTTGAACGGATCACCATTTGGCTTTATTTTGCAACTATGTTGTCATGACGACGTCCTACTTCTCCCTGTTTGACGTATCAGTGAGTTGAAGGAAGAAGGGATGATGACATCTCTCCCATTCTGCCTATTCGGCAAGATTTTCAAGCCTCCTGTAGAAAACAGCCCAACTCTCTGACGATCTCTGTCGGAACTCTGTCTCGCTCTGTGCGTCTCTCCCTTGACGAAGACGCACGAATTCGTGTTGTGTTGTGTCTTTTTGCCGTTATTTTGTAAAAAATCCTTTAGTAACACCGGGAGTCCGAAGAAAGCGTAAAGAGCAGTTGTGTATGTTTAGGAGCCTGGATTAGATCGGAAATTGTTGAAAGATTTAAGCAGGTAATCCCTAGTGAGAAAGTAATTGAATAGCTGTCCAATGTGGTTTATTTTATAATCCTCATTTTTTTTAAACACATACGTTTTATCCTTAAACATTCCATAGTAATTCCAGAAGTCATATGCTTTTTTTTTAATTTAAATTTCAACTTTCACATGCTTTCCCACATCTTAACTAAAGATTTCCAGTATTAAAACTCGATCAAAAATTGGAAATGTATTCATCAAAAACCCACTTCACGCTAGGCGTCAGTCACCCCCACCCAATCTACACACATTCTTAACATCGTCACCACCTCACCAAGTGAATATGTCCTGCAATAAACCCCGATTCCAAGTCTGTAGACATATCATCACTGATAGCAATTTAACGCTCCCCGCCCCGGCACTCAAGTCGTATTCAAACCACAGGCTCTGAATCGTGACACTTCAAATCTTATATATTTGCTCTTCTGCCACAAATGAAAAAAAAGGAAACTAAAACGGAATTACGTCTTCGATTTAATAATCATAAAAAGCACACCAGGAACAACAACAATTTACCTGTCGCTGCACACTTCAACCAACCATTTCATAGCGTCGATGACATCAGATGCGTGCTTTTATCTTCTTCATTCAACAGCCGAGAAGAAAGAGAAGTGGCGAATTTTTAGGAGCCTGGAACGGATTGGAAATATTCCCATTAATTTCAATGGGTAAAATTGATTTGAGATACGAGTCTTTTGAGTTACGAGATCGGTCTTGGAAGAAATCAAACTCGTATCTCAAGACATTACTAATTTTAAATAATAGATGTTTATGAATTTAAACGTTTTCTTTTAAATTATTTTAACATTTTATATACAGTGGCTTTTATTGTCATGTACGGCGGTTTTAATGTATAGTGCTACCGCTTGGACATTAACTAAAACCCTAGAGTCTAAGAATGATGGGACTACAGTAGGATGCTGAGAGCTTTACTTATTATTTGTTGGAGATAGAGTTGTAAATAATGTACGCTCCATTGTTCTTAATATCACGCACTTATCCCAGCATCCCTTCGGCTTAAAAACATACCTGCAAAATCCTCTTACAGGATTGCCATCAGCTGTCTCTCCATATTGTCCCCAATCTCGTCTACAGCGTTTCAAAAATGAATGAGGAAAGCTAGAAATTGAAGCGACCTGGATCTAGACTGTAGTTCTTGTTCTATACTTCGGATTGTCCCAAGAGAGAAGGATCTAGGGTAGCGTTTCTCAACCGGTGCGCCGGATATTGTTTATGCAGATGACTTCGCTATCACTGCAAAAATCTTCCCTAGAAAACGCTGTTGAATCCTAAAACTGAATTCTATAGTCTTCAACCAGCAAAGCCTCTGTCTCAAGTGAATCAATGAAATCTATCGAATCTTATACATACCTAAGGAAGCGAGATAAATTCTTCTAAAAGGAATTTGAAAATTCGCATAGCTAAAGCTTGGACCGTATTGGATGAAATGGATGTAATCTGGAAATATTTTCTACCATACAACTTCAAAGAGAGCTCCTTTCGCGCCAATATAAAGGGGGTTTTAATGTTTGGGGCCACTGCTTCAATATTAAATAAAACCCTAGAATCTAAGCTTGATTGGACTACAGTAGGATGCTGAGAGCTATACTTAATATTTGTTGGAGATCGAGTTCTAAATAATGTACTCTCCCTGAAAACGTTCATTTGATTTATCGAGTTTTTTTTTTATTTTGTATTTTTTAAAGTTTGTTCGCTTCTTTCAAGCCAGATATAAAAAGTGTTCACTTAGATTAGAAGCATCTGAAATGGTGTAAAAACAGAATTAGTTCCCCATCTTCAGGTGATTTTCTTTATGCTTCTAGGCTATTGTAGATTTTACAAGCATTTTCATTAATATTATTAAATAAGTGTTCATATCTCGACTGAATTCATAGGCTTCAACCAGCAAGCCTCAAAACAAACTGTCTCAGGTGAATCAATAAAATATATCGAGTATTTTGCATAACTAGAAAGCAAAATAAATTCTACTGAAAATTCGCATCGGTAAATCCTCGGCCTCCTTGAATAAAATGGATGTAATCTGGAAATCTGATCTACCAAACAGCTTCAAGCGGGGGATCTTTCGAGGAGGTATTAAATTGTAGCAGGATTTGTTGACATTATTGCTCTTAACGAAACTTCAGTCAATCGGTAAGCGGGTAAAGTGTGGGCGACGAATATTTTTTGTTTTTTTGGGGGAATTCTGATGTTGACATTCGCTGTTTTATACATGCCAATCGTGGCCATTTTGTCCACTAACAGAGAAAAAGCAGCAAAACAAGCAATAGAAGAAAGAACTCGCAAAGCAACATTTAATACCAGCTTTTCTTAAATGATAGATTTGTAAATAATAAATAATCGAGATAAATTCTACCGAAAAGGATGTAAAAAATTCGCATAGCAAAAGCCTGGGCCTCCTTGAATAAAATGAATGTAATCTGGAAATTAAAACCCAACAGTCTAAGCCTGATGGAACTACACTCGGATGCTGAGAGCTATACTTAATATTTGTTGGAGATAAAGTTGTAAATAATTCTCTCTCCCTGCAAATGTTCATTCGTTTTGGTTTTTTTATTTTGTATTTTTTAAAGTTTGTTCGCTTCTTTCAAGCCAGACAGAAGAAAGATTCACTTAGATTAGAAGCATCTGAAATAGTGTAAAAACAGAATTACTTCCTCATCTAGAGGGTATTTTCTTTATGCTTCTAGGCTATTCTAGGTTTTACAAGCATTTTCTTTAATATTATTAAATAAGTGTTCATATCTCGACTGAATTCATAGGCTTCAACCAGCAAGCCTCAAAACAAGCTGTCTCAGGTGAATCAATGAAATATATAGAAACATTTACTTACCTAGGAAGAGAGATATATTCTACTGAAAAGGATATGAAAATTCGCATAGCTAAAGACTGGGACGCCTTGAATAAAATGGATGTAATCTGGAAGTCTGATCTAGCAGACAACCTCAAGCGGAGATTCTTTTGAGCCACTGTAGAGTCGATGTTAATGTATGGTCCCATCGCTTGTACATTAACTAAAACTCTAGAATCTAAGCTTAATGGGGCCCTATACACGGATGCTGAGAGCTTTAAACATCTCTTGGGGATATCATCCAACTAAATCACAGCTCTATGAACGACTCATCCCTGATATTTCTACAATCTTACGCGAACGCGGAATACGCTGGCGAGTGAAACAAGAATCCGCGAGTGATATACTGCTCTGAACACCTAGACATGGAGCAAAACGTGCTGGTCGCCCAAATATTAGTTTGTATTTTTTTTTAAGTTTGTTCACTTCTTTCAAACTAAACATAAGAAGGGTTCACTTAGACTAGGAGCATCGGTAAATATTTAAAAACAGAATTTGTTGCTCATCTACGGGTGATTTTCTTTATGCTTCTAGGCTATTCAAGATTTTACAACGATTTTCAATAACATTTATTTATTTGTAGTATTTATATCTCAACTGAATTCATAGGTTTCAACCAGCAAGCCTCAAAACAAACTGTCTCAGGTGAATCAATTCTTTTACTTACCTAAGAAGCGAAATAAATTCGATTTAAAATTCACTTAGCTAAAGCCTGGGCCTCTTTGAATAAAATGGATGTAATCTGGAAATTTGATCCACCAAACAGCTTCAAGCGGAGATTCTTTTGAGCCACTGTAAAGGTGTTGTTAATGTATGGTGCCATTGTTTAGACATTAACTAAAACCCTAGAGTCTAAGCTTGATGGAACCTTCACTCGGATGATAAGATCTATACTTGACGTCTCTTTGAGACACTATCCAATTAAATCACAGCTCTATGGATCCATCCTTGATATTTCTACAATCTTACACGAAGGCAGAAGGCGTTTTGCAGAACACTGCTGGTAAGCAAAACAAGAACTCGAGAGTGATCTACTGTTCTGGACACCTAACCATGGCGAGAAACGGGCTGGTCGCCCAATAATTACCTACAATGACCAGCTATATTATGACACAGGATGCCATACTAAGGACCTTTCGATTTTGATGCAGGACCGTGTGATGCTTGGTATGATAGACACATGTATGCCCAAGCAAGCCCAACCAAAAACAAAAAATAGGTCTGTCTTACCCAATCTAGGGATTGAAGTCACAAACAAGATTAGATATCTCCAGACATGGCCAGCTGTACGAGAAGAATTAGCTTAAATAAAGTATCCTCAACGAAACGGCCACACGGATCAACAGGTACCTGAAGATGACTAGACGACACGGCAGAAACGTTATGACAATCAAGACAAAGATAAATCTGAGATTTACCGCCATATCACGTCGAAACACCAATTCCCGCACGATCACGAAAGTTAAGCAACGTTGAGCCACGTCAATGCCTAGATGGGTGGCCACCTGGGGATACCAGGTTCTGTAAGCTTCGATGTACGTGTGGTAGAATGAACTTATTTGCCATATCATGTCATAAACACCACTTCACGCTGTAAGCTTCGATGGCAGAATAAACGTACGGCCATATCCCAACATGCTGACCTTGACGCATGACCGTGATAGTTGGCGTAGTAGACTTATTAATGCCCGAGCTATATATCGAACGAATAAACAATAAAATGGTGGCTTTAGAAAGTAGATAAGTCTTTCAGGAAAGGAGATATTTTTTTTTTAATCCGGAGGGCATATTTATTTTTTGATAAAATCCGATTCTTTTAATATTCGAGGAAGGCTGATAAGTTTTCCCAAAAGCAGAGCAAATAACCTAAAATGCCATTTTTTGGCAGATTTTCATTCTCGGCCCTGAAACTTTTCAGCATCCTCTCGTCTGTATTACTGCTATAACGTCTAAAAAGATATAAACGCCCCTGGGAAAAGTAATGTCAATAATAATTTAATTAAGTAAAAACTACCACAAATGATGCTTTCCAAAAATTGGCAATAATGATAGACTTTGTTTTTAGCCAAAAGTCAAAGTCATTATGATTAGAAAACAACTAAATGTTACGTATTAATATTTTAAATTCTTGTTGCTTGTCTCATTCGAACACATATATATATATACGAATAGTAACACTCGTTTAGAAAAAAAAGAGGATAGCACAACTTGTAGATATGTCAAAACAAATCGGTACCCGAAAAAAAAAATCGCAAAATGGAAGAAAGAACCCAAAAGATAAGATTTGGGCGAAATAAATCGTCCAGTACCTTAAGTCCTTAATCCAAATAAAAAAAGCACAAGCGAGTAGTAAGATTAAACGTAGAGTGCTCAATACGGTAAGTAGAGCGGAATAATATATATATATATATATATATATATATATATATGTGTGTGTGTGTGTGTGTGTGCATCTGATATATATATATATATATATATATATATATGTAAGCAAATATATGGATATAGATCCGACAGTATGAAGAAAAATATACTGAAAAACAATCAAAAATCCTAATATGCGATTATGCAGTTTTAATGTTTAATGTCAACGTTGAATTGTATATGGTCTATGTTAATTATGTTTTATGAATATGTCCTGAAGATGGTCTCTTAGACCGAAACGTCCGACATTGACATTAAACATTAAAACAGCATAATCGCATATTAGGATTTTTGTTTGTTTTTTCAGCATATTTTTTCTTCATATATATATATATATATATATATATATATATATATATATATATATATATATATATATATATATATATATATATATATATATATATATATATATATATATTCATAATATATATATATATATATATATATATATATATCTGTAAATATATATATCTGTAAATATATATATATATATATATAGATATAGATAATATTAGTGGTCAATATATATATATATATATATATATATATATATATATATAAATTCTTTAAATCGATAGATTCCAGGTAGAACTCGATGTCCAGGACAGAGTAAGAATATAACATAACAGGCTCAAGCACTAATATTCCATGGTTATAATTTATTACTTTGGAATATTAATTACGATCCAATTCATCAGACCGACAAAGATGTATTTATGTATGTATGTAGTTGCGTTGATGTGAGTTTGTGTCCTTGAGTTTCACTACCACAAAACACCGATATACGCAAACACACACACACATATATATATATATATATATATATATATATATTTTTTATGAAGTGCGGGATTTTTTTAGATCGAAGTTGGGGTGGAATATATTTATTTCAATGTATAACTGCGAAATGCAAGCGATAAATTAATGCCTATAAGATCTATCAGAAAGTCGCTCAAATATTTCCTTCGACACACACACACACACACACACATATATATATATATATATATATATATATATATATATATATATATATATATATATATATATATATATGAAGAAATATAGTTTAAGTTGTGCTATATTTCCGGGATAAAATGCTCAATATCAGAGATCCAGCGAATATAATAAACAATTAATCTAATAGCTACTGTCAACTTTTTTATAATGTTCTTAATTCTGCTTCCATCCTGTTTATAATTTTCATTCTTTTGATTTTTATAAAAAAATTATTAATGTCATTGTTTATGCCCCTATTATATATAAAGACATTTTTATGTTTAACATTCTTTTTATTGATATAAGTATTTAAGTAAATGCTCTGTCTATAATTTCTGAATGTCCGAGAAATTTTCATAGAAAATATTCGTCCTTCGACAGGATTCGAACCGGTATCCTATACGGAATATCCACATAGACTGACGTGCCTTACCTCTCGGCCACAAAGGAACTTACTGCTTATAAATTATATAATTTCTCGGACATTCAAGGCCGGTAAATGTTGTTTAATACTGTTTATTATAAACAGAGTATTTACTTAAATATTTGTATCAATAAAAAGAATGTTAAACATAAAAAATGTCTTTAAATAATTGTCGGACTTTGTCCATTTATATATATATATATATATATATATATATATATATATATATATATATATATATATATATATCTTCGCACACAAACAAACACACACGCATACATACACACATATATATAGGGTGCGATGAATTAATTGTCGTCTAAATTACGCAAAAAAATTAAATAACATTGACATCTCATTTTAACAGTTACACTTACCAAAATTACACAAAACTATTTTCAAATACTAAATTAATTCAATAAAATCGGCATTGGCTTCAAACACAGCCTCTATATGACTTCGGAATCTCCTGCAACTCTTCTGAACAGTCTCCTTGTTTAAGTTGGTAAATGCCTCCATAAACCTTGCCTTCAGTTCATCTTTGGTGTTACAAGGAGATTTTCTGGTATCTCGCTCAAGTGTGCTACACACATAATCAAGGGCCCAGCATTCTGGGGAGTTAGGTAGACAGATCACAGAGATTGTTTGGCAGCCTTGACATGGTGTAGAATCCTGTTGCCAGACAAAGGGTCATTCATTATCCACACTCTTGGCCAGGGCAGCACGAGGCGCTTGATTTAGGCTCCGTGTTGAGTCTAAGGCCCTTACCAACAAATTAGTGAGTTCGTTTCTTAACAAAATGATCATAATGAGTTTTCCGAGCTTCCGTACGTTCGTAATCGCCGTTAGCCTCAGCTAACTCTTTCCGAATCCACTGACACCCAAAAACTCATAAATATCCGTACTGGAGATTCAGGCAGGAATGCCAAGCAGTATAGCAAGCCGTTTCCAAATTTTTGGCGGTGTCAATTGCGTTATGGTGATGTTTTTCTCAATAACAGTACCCAAACTGACCCTACGATTCTGTGCAGCCGGCAAAATAAATAAAAAAAAAACAAACAACGCGCATGCGCGAAATTAAAAATATAGAATGGCAACTATTTACCTATCGCACCATGTAGATATGAGCAGAATGTAGATAGATAGATAGATAGATAGATAGATAGATAGATAGACTGGGATAGATAGATAGATAGATAGATAGATAGATAGATAGATAGATAGATATGAAGAGACTCAGATAGATAGATAGATAGATAGATAGATAGATAGATAGATAGATATGAAGAGACTCAGATAGATAGATAGATAGATAGATAGATAGATAGATAGATAGATAGATAGATTAGGATTTTACACGTTTGCTTTTAGACTATTCCATTTCGTTTAGATCTATCTATTTCTGGGCATTAAATTGTGTAGGTGCGTCTGTCTATTAGCAACCATTTTAAATTGTGGTTGTCTGTAAATGTTCGTACAATTAAGGATGACTTCACTGAATGAGAATTGCAGAAAAAAAATAACCCCATCAAATTTGATAATGTTTTCAAATGCCAATGTTTAGGAGAAAAATGTTAATTTCTTTCAAATTAAACGAAATTGTAAGTAGGGCCCATTAAACCAATTAAATAGAAGCAAATTGCCCGCGAGCGATATTTAACAAAGAATACAGAGAAATCTCAATTTTCCTGCCTATTATATTTTGTACTTTAAATTGAACGATGATTGGACAACAACAAAAAAAAAAAAAAAAAAAAAAAAAAAAGACAGATCGTTCTCTTAGAAGTCAACAATGTCTATGACGTTGATTTCATTTTTGAATTTATACTTTTATCTATCTGTGCGTTTTTACGGAGTGGATTTTTATAAATACAAATATTATTATTGACAAAGCTCCTTTAAATTTGACAAACACTTGAAGAATTTTTTTTTTTTTCAAAAATCCTATTAAGTGTTTGCTTGCTTTTCTATTAATGAATTCTACAGGTACAACTCTTCTAGTCCGACAGTCTTTTAATCCGAACAGCATTTCATCAAAATGATTCATCCCTATTTTCAATTCATTTCACCCCAAGTAAGACAACAACGCCACTAAGACGCAAGTAGTTACTATAGATAGATAGATAGATAGATAGATAGATATTGACAGACGATAGATAGACAGACAGACATTTAGATAGATAGATAGATAGATAGATAGATAGATAGATAGATAGATAGATAGATAGATAGATATGAACAAACTTAGACATATATGAGCAGGCTGCAGATAAATAGATATATATGTAGATAAATAATAGTAGAATGCAGATAGATAGATAGATAGATAGATAGATAGTGATTTTCCAAGCGTAGCTCAGATGTGGCACAAGGCCGAAAGTAGTGAGGAACGAAACTCACTCAGTCGTAATTGTTCTAGCGAGACAAGCTAACCATTACACCGCCTCGAGGTGCCCATGTAGATAGATATAAGTAGGTTACAGATAGATAATGACAGCATGTAGATTGCATTTCAATTCTTGAAGATCAAAGGCAATAAATCCACTAAGATGCAAGGGTTACTAAATGTTAAATAATTGCTATTAAAAAGAGAAGAGAATAAAAGAACAAGAATTAAGAAGAGAGAGGACAACGATTGACATTTCATTTCAATTTTGGAAGATCAAAGGCAATAAAGCCACTAAGATACAAGGGGTTATTGAATGTTAGAGAATATCAGAAAAATTACTATTAAGGAGAGACGACAATAAAAGAACAGAATTAAGAAGATAGAAGATAACGATTGACATTGCATTTCAATTTTGGAAGATCAAAAGCAATAAAGCCACTAAGATGCAAGGAGTTACTGAATGTTAGAGAATATGAGAAAAATTGCTATTAAGGAGAGAGGACAATAAAAGAACAATAATTAAGAAGATAGAAGGTAACAATTGATATTGCATTTCAATTTTTGATGCTCTAAGGCAATAAAGCCACAAAGATGCAAGGGGTTACTGAATGTTAGAGAATATGAGAAAAATTAATATTAAGGACAATAAAAGAACAAGAATTAAGAGGACAGAAGATAACGATTGACATTACATTTGAATTTTTGAAGATTTAATTTGGCTGGGAAGCAAGTACTCAAGAAGGTACCACCATCGAGAAGTGCGCAAAGAAATAGGGCACACACACACACAACACACACACACACAAACATAAATATATATATATATATATATATATATATATATATATATATATATATATATATATATATATATATATATATATATATATATATATATATATGCTTAAGACGATATAGCACAGTGGATAAAGGCGTTGGTTAGATCCAGTGACAGGGCCCAAAATCGTGTGAGTTTCAAACCCGGTTAAAGCAGTGGAGAACTTTCAGAGGGAAATTAACAGGAAATAACTGATAACTGACATCCATTAAACATGGAACGTTGAACTAGAATAGTCCTAACCAGTGAGCGAAATAAAGGGATAAGTTCGACATTTCAACCACCTGAAGAAGGCCGGCGCATACAACGGCCTAAACGTTGTAATAAATATGGCGACAAAGATGAGGACAATAGTCTGAATAATGTAAATAGAGTCTTATAGGCTTTTTTTATTTTACAGTGTGGGTCACCTTCTATAAGGCCCGATGTAGAGGGTTACGCTAGGGGGCTATTTGTGTGTGTAGGTGAAAGAGATAACGGTTAACACTAGCCTTGAATGGGTTAAGGTTTTAGTGATCGAGGAAACATGTTGGGAGTTGATTCCACAGGGCAGTCGTTAGCGAGAAGAAGTTGCTGGAAGAGGGAGCATCATTTCAACTTAGAGCTAAGGAGATCAATTAGAAAAAAATCGAACTCAATCGATTAGACGTTCGGCACTTGAGAGGAGTTTCGCCTATGACAGTCCAAAGAGTAATGAAAAAAAAAAAGAAAAAAGAAAAGCATGAAAATGAAATCGTACGTGGAACGTGTGAGGCAACTTGTGACTCCAGGACAGAAAGTTAGAAGGTTAGAGCGGGTGAGGATCATCTTGCATGACCTGAAGACCTGAAATATGGTCATGGAATTATATATATATATATATATATATATATATATATATATATATATATATATAAAGAAGAACAGTAAATATATAATCCGGTGTTCTTATAGATATTTTTATTCTTACAAAATAGTGCTCAATGTAAATTTACAGAGCATTAATATTGGTTTGTACAGAGACGATGGTCTTATGGTTATTAGAAACTCCACTAACTTCAAAATAGATAGAATTAGAAAGATTTTTATATAAAGAATTTAAAAGCATGGGCTTAAAAATTACGGTTAGCACCAAGTTAAAAAAAGTGAACTTCCTAGATATAACATTAGATCTAAATAAAAATACATACACACCTTATAAAAAACCCAACACCAATCCATTATATATACACCCTAAATCAAATCACCCCCATCTATAATTAAACATATACTATACCGTGATCTATCAGTAAACGAATAAGTATAAATTCAGCAAATGACAAGATTTTCGATGAGCATATTAATTTCTATAATAAATCTCTAAAAGATAGTGGCTACAAAACCCCAAAACTAACTTATATAAAAATGAAAATGGAAAAGCATAGAAAAAAAACAGATGTAGAAAAATAATTTGGTATACACCCCATACAACCAAATGGTAAAAAACAAATTAGGACAAAAATTCCTTGCATTAATAGTTAAGCATTTTCCTAGAGAAAGTAAACTAAGTACTATTTTCAATAAAAATACACTAAAATTAAGTTACAGCTGTACTGAAAACTTAAAAAAATTATTAAGAAACATAATGCTAATATCTTAAATAAACACTTATACCAAAACCAAAAAATTTAGACAATATAAAAATAAAAAATAAAAAAGAGATGAAAATAAACAAAAATTATGTAACTGTAGAAACCCTCAAAACTTGCCTCCACAAAATAAATGTCGCACTGAATCATTAGTATACCAATGCAATATCTCATCTATTGAAAATCCTGAAAACATAAAAATATATATAGGTTGCACAAGCCATGAGTTCAAAAAACATTCAACCAACATCAAACTTCATTTAGGATAAATAAATATAAAAATCAAACATCTCTTTCAAAGTATTTCTGGCACCTAAAAGAATCAAATAAAACATCTACAAGAAAATGGAAATTAATAAAAAAGCTAGAATATGTAGGTCATTAAATGACCCATGTCCTTTGTGCATACATGAGAAACTATATATTACTAAGTTTATAAAAAATAAAAATTTACTGAATCAGAGAAATGAAATAGCTATTTTTTGCCGTCATTGTCAAAAATTTTCCTTAAATAATATTTAAAAATAAAATTTAAAAATAAAATTAAAAAATGGGAACTGGTAATATACATACTTATATTTGATATGAAAAAATAATTTTAAATAATTTAAGTAATTCTATTACATTTACTTGTTTTAAAAAAAAAAAAAATAGTCTATTAAAATAAAGAGTAAAAATATTTTAAATTATAGTTAAATAAAACGTATTCTAACCTAAAACACCCCTTTAAAAAAATCTTTAACCTAAAAAAGTACGAAAAAAAGTTCAATAAAACTGTTTGCCGTTAATAAAAAAATTCTCTTAAAAAACAGGCGACATGCATTTAACGGATGTCAGAAAAAAAATACACCACTACAGAAAAACTTAACCTCTTTTTCAAACGTAGCTCATAATTGATGTCCCAATAGTTAATAAAAATGAACATATACCGCCCCTGTCTAAAATGATTATATTTATATTTATCCTTATAAACATATAATTATATAAATTTATAAATAGAGAAAACTCAGTAAATTATAAATAAAGTTATTCCAATATTCGCTTGAAGATGAAATATAATATATCCTTTTAATTATATAATTAAATTTAAAGTTTTTATCTTCAATTTTTGATTAAACATTTTCGTTATTACTGTTTCAGCGAAAAAATATATTTTAAATAGTTAATTTATAATATTTATTATAAATTTACATTGGGCACTGTTTTCCAAAAAATAAAAATATCAATAAGAACACCGGATTATATATCTTAAGATATTCTTTTAATTATTTATATATATATATATATATATATAAATATATATTTTTAGACAAATTTTCTGTTATACATATTTTACAGTTTTAGAACGGACAAGGAAAGTCTATTTTTAAAGATTGTTTTTTTGTGAGTTTCAGCTGGCGTCGATCATACATATAGGTGTGTACCTTTTTTTTTCCTGTATGTGTGTGTGTATAGATAGATAAAAAAGTGGATTAATTTGTATATATCGATTTCAGGATTGAAATAGAGTTAGAAGCCAGAGCCTTTATATATATATATATATATATATAACAGATATAAAGTCGTGGATAACCGGAATTTCAACACCACTGGTGACAGTCTTTAGTCTCCTGCTTCAACGAAATTCAAGAGCAGACTAGATGAAAAAGTTGAATTATCCCGGTCACTTCTATATTCCATTGATCTCTCTGACCACACCATTTTGTTTACAAAAAACTCTATCTTAGAACAGGATGCTTTCCCATAAATATAGTAACGTTTTCAAATCTTGTATTTTACAATAAATATATATATATATATATATATATATATATATATATATATATATATATAATTAACCTGGTCCGACTATATATACATATATATATATCCTATCTTATCCTTATAATTTTAGAGAGATTGATTCCGAGAGATTACAATTTTGGGACATAGATAAAACCAGACAGAGAGAGATCCTACTTATCCTTATAATCTACAAAGACCATACAGGGTCACAGACAAAACCAGATATTAAAAAACTAGGCTCAACTTTTGTCTATCCAGAGAGATCCTCTCTTTTTTCATCCAAGAATCAAGACCACAGATGAGGGGAGGTTAGAGACAGAGAAAATACCAGAGATAGGCTTGAGAGAGAGAGAGAATCGGAGGTGTAGACCGTTCAAATTCGCTCGAAAAAGTATAACATTGTGGTCTGAGTAAAACTGATGAAAGGTATCACTTTCATGACAACTCCTGTTTATAGGGTAATCAGAAGAAACATGGGGTTCTATTATTGACTTGTAGTCTGGTTTTTTTCTTCTAAAACTCTGGTGACTGAAACCTGAATTGTCAGGAAAACACTTTTACTATTTAACTGTTTTGCTATTCCGAATTCTACTTTTTTGGGAATCGATTTTCTGTGTTGGACTACATTTGATTCTGTCATGATAGCTATCTCTTAAGCTGAAGAATTCGGTTATTAAAAAAAAAATTAAATATTCATTTTGGTGAACATGCATACAGCAAAGGCACACAGATGATGATATATATATAACGTATATGTATATAAATATATATACATTGTGTGGCATCAATTTTATATAAATTATATTTGCGCAGTAAAGTTTTATAGCGCTCAATAGTGATAGGAAAATATTTAGTTGGATTGTAATTTTTGTGGGTTTCCCTATTTAACTTAAGATCGTCAGACCTGATTTGCAAATTAATTGTTTTGTTCAGGATCCAAACTTACATCAATCCAACTAAATATATAAAAAATAAAATTTTTTGTGTGACATTACATTGGTAACGCCTCAAAATCCCTTTATATATAATATATATGTGTGTGATATGGACAAAGAAAATTGTGTTTAGATATTATAAAAGGGTCTATAAGAAACCTCAACAGAATGCATTCGGACGGCGTTCGTTGATTTTTACTCCGTCATTTTCCACTACCTCTGAAACCCTAACAATTAGGAGATTAGCAAAACATCGACCGGTCTTTCCATCCTCGGTAACGAAAAGATTTTTCTGTCCGGCAAATCAACAATAGCGCCGCTCTGATATTTTCCGTGATGGAATTGACTCCAATTTCTTAACCATGGGAATGGAAGTGAACTGAAGGATATATATATATATATATATATATATATATATATATATATATAAATATATATAGGTATATATATATATATATACATGAATAAGCAGGAATGATCCTCTGTGTCCAATCGGTTAAAAAACACGTCAACGCAATGGATATATATATATATATGAAACATTTTTTTGTGTTATGTTTAGATTCAGTAATTTATAAATGAAAGAATTTTGTTTTAATAACAACTAAGCAAAAGAATAATGCAACTAATCTTCGCAAGAAGACAATGAGTGTGAAAGAATTTGTTTGTTTGTTTGTTTAGGACAATAAAAACAAGGTATTAAAAAGATTTAATGTCGAACACTGCATTTAAATTTTTTGAAGATCAATTAAAAGCAAAAACAAAAAATATATTGCTGGTATTTTTTTAAGAAGAAACTAGACAATCATAGAACTTCCAGAGTATCTAACCATTTCAAATTAAAATTCACCATTCATAATGATTTATTATTACGATTATTATTATTATCTTGATGATAATTTTTTTTTTTAGATTAGAATCTGTTCATATTATTTATCCTGACCAAAGGCATCTAATCTCCTCAAATTTAATTTTAAATTTTCAATAAAATGTTGAATTAATTTTTTCATTTCCGTATTGAGATACATTCCTTTAATATTTTCATTCATGTTTTCAGTTAACTTTAGATACTTTTGTTAGCGGCTATCAAGAATTACTGAATAAGGAATAACCAAAATGGAGCTTGGGGAAAATTAGTAATCTTTAACATCAAAAAAATATACAATACTCGCCATTTCTTTAATTAGGAAATTGCTAGTATGGACTATAAAACAACATATTTTTACACTTTTCATAGGTGTTCAACGTATTTGAGTTTGGGACATGTGCATTAGTGTTCATAGGTACGGACCCAAACAAAAGATAGATAGATAATAGAGAAGAAGAAATTCCAGATAGATCAAAATAGATCCGATAGATGCAATTCATGAAGAACTAAGATAGATAGAACGTAATAGATAGATAGATAGATAGATATGAACAATGTAATTTTTAGATGATAATAGATAGATAAGGAACAGACTAAAACGGAGATTGATAGATAGATATGAACAATGTTTATAGATCAACAAATAGATATATATGAACAGACCAAGATAGATAGATAGATATGAACAAAACCATAGATAGATAGAGATAGATAGAAAGATAGATAGATATATGAACAGACTAAGATAGATCCATAGATGTCCCACTTAACAATGTAATAGATAGATAGATAATAGATAATTAGATAATAGATAGATAGATAGATTATCTGTTGTAACCTAGAAAAGGTTACTGAATAAGAAATAACCAAAAAGGAGGTTGAAAATGAAATGGTAATCTTCATAACATCAACAAAATACAATACTCGCCAGTGGTGTGAAGTAGATAAACCACTGCTAGTGGTAGACTACATAGACAGCATTTACCCCCACACACACACACAGTTACTTACAACGTATTTATGAGGATTGGGACATACCCATTAGTGTTCATAAGTACGGTATATAACATTTTCTATCTTTCTATTTAATCTATCTATCTATATATTTATATATTTTATATTTATATATATATATATATTGGATTATAGGTAGGTATTTTCTCTTCTTCCTGTTTTTCTTTTTTTTTTTTTTTTTATTGGACTAAATCAATTTCTTCCTCAAAAAAAAGGTTTTAAAAAAAAAAAATTATTTTTTAACGTCTTTCTTTCTTTATTTTCTTTTTTTTTCCGCTTTTTTTCTTTCTAGGGTTTTAGTTTTTCTTATCCGTCATTAGATTATATTTATATATATTTATATTTATTCTTATAACTATTCTGGTATATATTCTTTCTATATTTTTTTGATAGATGTGCTTTTTTTAATTATTAAAGCACGCTTTATTCCTTCTTTCATTTTTATATATATATATATATATTCTTTTTTTTTTTTTTTCTTTATATATTTACCGTTTATTTTTTTTTGTTGTGCAAAAAATTATACATATATATATTTATTTATATTTATATTCTTCCATTTCTTCATATATATATATATATATTCTTTTACCACATATATATATTTATATATATATATATATATATATTTGTAACCTAAAAAAGGGTTACCGAATGAGGAAAAAAGGGACGTTGGAAATGAAATGGTAATCTTTATAACATCAACAAAATAAAGTACTTGCCAGCGACGTGAAATAGGTAAACCACTGCTAATGGTGGACTAATTATACAGCATATGACCCCTTACTTACAATAGTGTCCAACGTATTTATGAGGATTGGGGCAGACCCATTATTGTTCATAGGTACGGTATGGAATAATCTTTCTCTTGAAATTGCTAAATTTAACCGTAATTTTTATTTAAGGAAAATAACTGAGACATGGCACGTGGAACTAGAACAGTCTACCCCGGCCTTATTTTTTGACAGTTATAAATTTTTTCACCTAAGGTGCAGAAAATTGGCTCCATCAAAGGTGGAGATGCCAGATTTAACCAAAAACACTTTCAGGCAAAAAACACAATCCTTGAAAACAAATATATATATATATATATATATATATATATATATATATATATATATATATATATATATATATATATATATTGAAATGGATAAAGTCCGACAATTAATTTAAGACATTTTTATGTTTATACATTCTTCTTATAGATAAAATATTTAAGTAAATGCTCTGTTTATAATAAACAGTATTAAACAACATTTACGGGTCTGAATGTCCGAGAAATTTTCATAGAAAATATGCGTCCACCGACAGGAATCGAACCTGTATCCTATACGGAACCGTCATTGTATCTATAAAATAAATGTATAAATATAAAAACGTCTTAAAATAATTGTCGGACTTTGTCTATTTCATATTGTGAGACGTCATTTTTTTTTACATTTGGATACGCCATTAGCAGATATGAATGTACGTGAGAGGTTTAAAGCAGTAAAATCGACCCTGCCAATCGAATGATTCTCCGTGTCTCGATCGGTTAAGGCACGTCAGGCTAAATCCTAGCTGAATAACTCAAAGAATTTTTAATTGATTCTTACTACAAATGATGTCAAGATGGCTAAACGTCTTATTTGAAAACCTGGAAAAAGAAAATCAATTAGTTTAGTGGTATTTTAGATATTAAACATTTTGTGGGATGGACAATTATAATGTAACAGGATTTGGAGACTTTAGCTCTCACCCCGGGTATGTATATAGGAGGCACGGTGGAGTAATGGATAGCGGCTTGGATTGAGGAATCGGAGAGCCGAGTTCGAATACCAGTCGAATCCATTACATTCATTTTCGTGCTAATACCCTTGGGAAATGTGTGAATCCTTTTCTTCTCCCTCCAGCTATGGGTAAATAACAGGACAGATTGGGTTCTATACCCTTGGATGGCAGCAGGCCTAGGAGAAGGACGTTTGGTGACCTTGTGGGACGTAGTACTGTAAGCCCCAAAAGTCAACCCTTTTTATTTTCATGTGGTGGGGTGTAAACGGTAAATATAAAATTCAGCTATATATGTTCCTGGTAGGGCCACCCAAAGGAAACAGGTCTGACACACGCGCCGGCTAACAAGGTCTCTGGTGAAAATCCAAGGAGCGTCTGCATCCGTAACTGGCGGCTGTGGGACCCCGCGGCAAGCAAGAACGTTATCCGAAAATAGGCCTGGGTACCCTATTTCTTGGTTTATCCCAAGAATCTTCATCTCATAACAGGAAGAAGCCATTGGGAAATCCGCCCAGGGTGAATGCCGCATCAGTACAGTACATAAGTAAAGGTTTATTCCTTCGGTCCTTCAAAAAGTGGATGGTTCTGCACGAAACCTTCACCACTATAATCAAATTTCATGTGCTGTTGTCGGGCTGTCGGTTTCCTAGAAACTGATCTGCTTGAACCTCATACATTGAATTCGACAATAGTAGAGTTGATATATATATATATATATATATATATGAATTTAAAATAAATTTAAATACTTTTTTCTAACCATGTTTCAAAAAAAAAAAATAAAAAACTTCTAATTTAATTTTGTAATTAAATTAAAGAGATTAGAATTTTCATCCTCAAAAAAATTTTCGATGAGGATGAAACTACCAGAAATAATGTCATTTAAATTAATTACAAAATTAAATTCGAAAAATTTAGATTTCCATTTTTTAATAACAAAAATATTAAAAATGTTTCGCGACAAAAAATATATTAAATATATAAAATATATATATATATATATATATATATATATATAAATATATGTATATAAATATATATATATAAACAATAAACATAATCTTTATTTAAAAATATAATGTTTTAATGTTAATATGACATAAAAACATTAAAAATGTAAATAAATTGTATATAAATATTTTGTTTGTTTTTTCCTATACATATATTTTTTTCAGACTGTCGGATTTATATCCATATATTTAAGTCATATATATATATATATATATATATATATATATATATATATATATATATATATATATATATTTTTTTAAGCATTCACCCCAAGCAAGGCGGGAAGCCACTAGGACACAAGGGGTTACAGAAAATAGCAAGATCAGATAGGACTGATAGAAGAAAGGATGAGGGTAGTAGATAGATTAAGGCAACTGGAGATGTCGATTGACATTACACTTGAATAGCTGGAGATTATAGCTCACAGGGAAACAGGAGAAGGGAAGAGAGTTCCACAGGTCAGAGGTGCGAGACATGAAGCTATTAGAGTAGAAGAGACGGCGACATTTAGGAGTTTCGACAGTGAAGGGATGAGAGCGGGATGCCAGCCTCGTAGGGCGCTTGAACTCATGACGTCTGGGAACCAGCGAATGCAGCTCCGCGGAGCAATTTCCATGAAAGTATTTGTAGAACAGACAAAGAGAGGCGACGGTGCGTCTGTGAGAAAGTGACTGTAGACGAGACGCCAGGGCAGGGCCAACCGTATTGCATATCCACCTCTGGAGCCTATCAAGAACCCCGAGGCAAACAGAAGGGGCGTCAGACCATATATGGCAGCAATACTCCATGCAAGGGCGAATTGTGGATTTGTATATGTGGAGGATCGACTCAGGGGAGAGAAACTTCCTAGCGCGGCTCAGGGAGCCAACTTTCCTCGCAGTGGACGAGGCAATTGACTCGATGTATTTATTCCATCTCAGGTCAGCAGTCAACGTGAGACCGAGCAGCCGCAGAGAGTTGCTCTCGAGAAGTTGAGCGTCAGACATTCTAATGGAGGGAAGGGAAGGCTCTCCTTGGTGATTAATAGAGAGCAGTTTTGTCTTCGAAGCGTTGAAGTTGAGCAGCCAATTCATGCCCCAGTTCAAAATCGATTGGAGGTTTTTTTTTAATATATATATATATATATATATATATATATATATATATATATATATATATATTTTTATACGTATGGAATTTCAATCATATCAGTTCTTAGATTCAAATTAAAGGGACGAACCGTACATATTTGATTATATTTGGGAAAGTTAGTGCAAAACCAGACTCATTTATTATGAAGAACCGAATACAGAGATCTGGTGCACAGGGTCAACAAATGACTCGCCAAAGGTTGTCCCTCTCCTACATCGCTTCCCATACAAGGTTATAAGACCCCGTCTGCTCCGCTAATAATGATACCCACAGCTGGGGAAGATGAGATGAATTCATTCCTTTCTCAGGTGTATTAGCACATAAGTGAATGGAATCAACTCTACTACAATTCGAATTCGGCTCTGTGATTCCTCAATTCGTTATTTCACCTTGTTTTCATAATATATATATATATATATATATATATATATATATATATATATATATATATATATATATATATATATAGTTTTAAAAACAAGGAATGTATTGATTTTAATTTTTTAAAAGTCTCTAAGGCCCTTTCAACCAACATCTCATCAGGAGACAATCGTTGGATAATTAATCAACGAAAAGAATATTAACGACAATGAAAAGCAAAAAATGGGGAAACACACTAAAATAACAAACAAGTGTATATACTTGTAACGAGGGGAGGGAAATAACGTAAAATAAATTAGCGAGGGACAGTTAAAATAAAATATCCCCAACAGATTAAGAGACTTTACAAATTTTTTCTGCCGGCAGAGAGAAGGTTTTTTAATCCTATGCAGACCGATTCCAAAATCTTCAAATGATTGTTGGAATCGGCTGTATGAATAATTTTAAACCACTCTTTTTATACGACTTGGCGCAGGCTATATTCTCAACTAAATGTTGAGCAATAGCCGATTCCATATTCATGGGGGGATAGATAGCATATTTTATCTATCTTACCAAGTCGTATTTTGAAGGTACATGCTGATTGATTCTAGTTTCCAAATGCAAGGTTGTACGCCCCACATAACCAGCAAGCACACTGGCAATTAAATTCATATACTAAATTACTCAATTTGATGTAGGGCAATACATCCTCCTTGCGAAAGACGGAAACACAGACCTAGTTCGAAAAATGCTACGTAAAGCAACTGATGGGAAACAACCGAAACCGACTTGATAACCTGCTTAATTAAGCCCTGACCCCTATCCCCAATCCAGGGAATCTTCAAATAAACCGGACATTTAGAAGGCCCCTGGACTTTAGGGGAATGAAATTCCTTAGTCTTCTTACTAATAATATAGTCAACAAGGGCCTCCGGATAGCCGTTACTGAGGAAAATCTCCCTAATGTTCTCAAATTCACGGTCCAATCTAATAGGAGAACAAATTTTAAGCGCTCTATACACCAAGGTTTTAACAAGATTGATTTTCCTTGATGCAGGAGCAAATGAACGCCAATTCAAATAGAGACCCGTAAAGGTGGGTTTACGATAGATGCTTGTAAGAAAACCACCTCTACTGCGCTCAACAAAAAAAACGTCCAAAAAAATTATTACAATTGTCCTTCTCCCCTTCCATAGTGAAGGACAAACCATTGTGTAAGGAGTTGAGCTCATTAAAGAACTCAACAGCCTCACTTTCGTTAGAAAAAGTTGCAAAAGTGTCATCGACATACCTGACATAAACAAACGGTTTAGACACTTTACCAAAAAGTAACATCTCGTGGTAGCCCACAAAGATATCAGCCAATGTAGGGCCAAAGGGACTGCCCATCTGGACCCCATCCACTTGACTATACATAACATTATAAAATTCATTCACGTTTGTTAAACGCTTCCAGGCCATACAGTCTTGCCCTGATACTGATTTTATGTGTTCTTTTGATGTGTCCAGTCTGTTTACCAACGTACCATTAAAGGTAACTATTAATATCTGTACAGACTTTTTATACGAAGGTAACATTACTCCACCTCCTTTTCCTAAGGATATATTTATAGAACGTATGATACTATGTACCAGTTCAGTGGAGTTTAGTTTTGATAATGTTATGTAAATAAATAATTAACAAATTTAGCCAAGAGGCGTAGACATTATAGTGTTCAATGTAATTAGAAAGAGATAAGAAATATATATTAATAAATACATTTATATCTACGTTTGATGTGCGACTTGGGTTTCATTGGTTACCCAACTCTTCAGACATAAGATATAGATTATTGTTTATTTAAGATACAAGGTAATTCTACAAATAACAACCAACCGCGTTAATGCGAAGCTCTTCAGTAAAATGAATGGAGCACTCCGGCTGATTGACATTTGTTTATATTTGTAAAAACAAATTGCTAGATTTAGCTTCCTCATCCTGTCGGATTAAGGTAGTTCAGTGGTAGAAACTCTGACTGATATCAAATCGGTTGGTTTTCAAACCTGGCTTGAGGCATTTGGTTGTCTAGTCGCATTCAAGAGTTGTGATGCAGCGAAACAGTACTGTCTGCGAATGATATATATATATAACAACAAAAACATTTCGATTTCATTTTTGCCTTGAAAAAGTCGGAAGACGAAACGCGTCGGCAAAATCTAAGATTTTTTTTCCAATTGTCATTTGATACCAATCTGTCTTGTCCACAGAATTCATCTGGGAATCTAACTATATATATATATATATATATATATATATATATATATATATATATAATATATAGGAGGTACAGGGAATAAGTGATTGAGGAAACGGGGAGCTGAGTTCCTATTTCAGTCGAGTTCATTAGATTCATTTACGTGCTAATACCCTTTGAGAAAAGTATGAACCCTCTTGCTCCCCACCCTACCAAATTTTTCTAGGTGTAAATAGCTGGACAACAGTTCTATAGCCTTGATCTTGGAGAAGTACAACTCCCAATTCAAAAGCAGCGGAGTGTCGTTTGGAGACATTGCGCACTTGATCTCTGTATTCGGCTCTTCAAAAAAGTGTGGCTGATTTATCCTTCACTACTATATTTAAATTGCTTGACCCTCATACATCGGAAAACCGACGGAAGAGTCAAGTATATATATATATATATATATATATATATATATATATAGATAGATAGATAGATAGATAGATAGATCAATTGATTGCTGCAGGATCTTATTCTGTCAGATGTGAGGAAATCATTTCTGAGAAAATCATTTTTCCAGCTTCTCTCAGCCACAAGCAGATGATTTCATCTCAGATAATATCCTCATTAATAAACATTGAATTATTATTTTCACGTCACTGGGGGGGGGTTTGAAGAAAAACAGTCTATGATGTTTTGTATTAGTTAGCTCTGCTAGAAAACCCCATTTGCATCACGGTCAGTCATTGGCAATGCGTACCAGTGTTAATTGCTTGATTAACTTTATTTCTTTATTTCACTTTTAGATGAGTAAATGTTTCTTAAATTATTTTCTCGTCTTGTTATAGATAGAACGTTTCGGCCAACAACTGTGTCGCCATCATCAGGGGTCAGTTTTTTTTTTGTTTTTTTTTGGGGGGGTTGCCAAAATGGCCCGTTACTGCTAAACCACTACCTTATCTAGAGATTGTAATTTCGACTATACATAACAAATTCCTATGTCCCTTAAGTCACTGTCTCGGAGGTAAACAGTTGTGTATTTTTGGAGCCTTTTATATTCATTGCATTTGATTATTTTCTTATTTCTTCCTGTTGAAGAATTCGTTCATTACCCGAAACCTACTACAGATTGAACATGCAACTGCTAGATAACAGCAATAAATGTATAACAAAAACCTATATGCACTTCGCCATAGTCCCGAAGGTTATCAGTGGTGTATTTTTGGAGCCTTTTATATTTAATATCAGCATTTAGTCAACACAGCGGATTCGTTTAACTTTTCGAGAATTTTGTATTTCATTTTATCAAGATTAATTCTAAATATACTCTGAATTCATCCCAAGCAAGGCAACAAAGCCACTAAGACGCAAAAGGAGAGTTACTGAGTGGAAAGCAATATGAGAAGATAAAATAATTATTAACTCTAAAAGCAATTATAGTTTTTTCACACACTAAATTCAGACTCGAGCCGACAGAGATGTGGTTCTACAGAAGGATGCTAAGGATACCATGGACCAAGCGTGTGAGCAAGGATAAGATCTTACAGAGGTTGCAAACAAGGAGGAGGCTTATATTTTATATCAGTTAGCAGCTGCTGAAGTTTCTCGGACATATAATGAGGAAGGAGAGCCTGGAGAATCTAATACTCACGGGTCGAATAGAGGCAGAGACAAAGGAAAACCACGCGGGCGGCCTTAAGCTAGTGGACGACCGAACGTTTGGGGGAGGAATCAGAGGGAAGGAACTTGTTAAGAGCTGCAAGGGATAGAATGAAGTGGAGAGCCATGACCGCTTACGACCTGAAATAAAATGCCACATAAAAAGAAAAAGAAACCTAAAACGTTATACAGGATGTGGCATAAGTCGAGGACAATAGGGGGGTTAGTAGATAAGGTGAAGAGGTCTTGTTGATTTGTCACCGAGGTCACCAGGCCTTACAACCTTGGATTTTTTTTTTCTGTGGCGCCATTTGAAATCTGTTTCTTTATCAAACGCGCCCTAGAAATGAAAGAATTAAATATGAATGCAGTAACATGACAGAGAAAACTCTCAGACGGGGTTAATTAAAAACGCAGGTATGGAACTGAAATGTGTTTTGAAAAAGAAATCTCTTTTGAACTGCACATATATTAAATAACTAGTAAATAACATTTTCATGTATAATTAAACTTTTAATAAATTATCCTTATGGTGTGCGATTTTTGTCTCACCCAATATTCAATTTTTTTAAAATGGTTTCTCTTTATAGTGGAATGAAGAATATTAGAATCAGTTCCTGTTAATATTACTTACCTTATTTTCTTTTGTGAAGCGTTGACCGATATGTCAATATCGGCCAACGCCTCACTAATGCTCTCCTTTTAAGGAAATATCTTGATCGTTTCGGATGGCATTATCTGGAATTAATGTGAGAAGATATTGTCTAGAAATTGCATAAAATCGAGAAAAAGTAGAATATATTGTCTCCATTGCTGAGGTCACTTCCGAACCGGAAATAGAAGAATTGTGGGAAGAAAGATAAAGAAAGAAAAATGGATGAAAGAAAGAAGAGTGAAGGACTTGTATTTTATGGATAAAATGAATGGAGGGAGAAATAAATAAAAATAAGGAACAAGGTTAGAGAAGAGATATAAACGATGGGTAATATTTGGTGAAAGGAAGGATAAGAAATATAGAACCCCCACCCCCGGCCTCCAAGAAAAGAAGGAAAACGAGAGTGTGAGAGGAATGGGGAAGAAGCGACTGAAAGTAAAATCGAATGAAGTAACTAGGAAATAAAATGTTCATGTGTAAGTTTATACTTTCAGTAAATTATCACTAGGGGGCGTGACTTTTGCCTCACCTGGTATATTAGAGGATCTTACAGAGATTCGTTCGTTTTTCTCTCAGGTTCTATGAATGATCTCGAAGAATAATCTTTTGTAGCATTTTTTGGTTTCTTAGTAATTCTGGTCTATCTTTCTTTCTTTCTTTCTTTCTATCGCAATCCGTTTCTATCTATCTATCTGTCTATCTATCTATCTATCTATCTATCTGTCTATCTATCTATCTATCTATCTATCCGAGTCTGGTATATTAGGGTGTTAAGTATATTCGTGAGATTTTTTTTTTCGACTAATCTAAAAGAATAATCTTTCGTGGCATTTTTTGGCTTCTTTGTAATTCTGGTCTGTCTTTCTTTCTATCTCAATCTGTTTCTATCTATCTATCTATCTCATTCTATTCTCTATCTATGTATGTATCTCATTCAATTCAGTATCTATCTGAGCCTGTTTACTGCTATCTATCTATCTATCTATCTATCTATCTATCTATCTATCTATCTATCTGAGTCTGTTTACAACTATCTATCTCAGTCAGTTCATATCTATCTATCTATCTATCTGAGTCTGTTTATATCTATCTATCTCAGTCAGTTCTATCTATCTATCTATCTATCTATCTATCTATCTATCTCAGTTCTTGTATTATCTACCTGTCTATCTGTAAGATCGTATCTCCACCCCAGTGGACCCATACACTTTACAAGACCGGCCATCGATCCGATATCGTCCAGTATTACAGGTTAGACACAAGTCTCCGGTTCCCAATATCAATTCGAAGACACCTTCCAGCCATATGGAGAGTGGTCATCGGATCGTAGAAATCCGGAAGCCCTCCGTTAGTCCACCTGAGAATTCGTAGGGTGAGAATCGGCTTAGCAGAAAAATAAATATTGATTTTTAAAGGACAATTTATATATATATGTATAAAAGGAAACCGAGAAAAAATTCTTGTTACAGAAGATTGAATGTTTCTTGTATGTGAACAATAAACAAACAAACACAAATACTTCGAATAATTTCGGTAAAGGAGAGATGTAAGCTTTAGTTTTAACCCATTTCTGGTCTGTTCTTAGCGCAACTACTACAACCTTCGATGTTCCCGTTCTCAATAGTAGTAATAGTAGTAGTAGCATTAGTAATAGCACTGAGTAGCGGTATAGCATGTTAGCAGCGGTATTTTAATGAATTTTTAGTGCCAAAATCTAATGATTTCTAGTTAGTGGACCATTGACAGAAGGTTGAAAACAATCGTCAGAAATTTTAATGAATAATAAATATTTAAATAGATGAAAAAATATGAAAGAATTTATGTAACAATATATCTATCGATATATCTATCTATCTAGTTTGTTCGAGGGTAGGTAAAAATCTATCGGTTTATATTTGAACCATGATGAATTTTCTTTCTTTCGGAATAGGTAAACAGTGAACGTTTATATTTGAGTCTTTAACCTTTAATATGTTGAGGAAAAATTAAATTTTAGCCGTTTATATTTGCTTCTTAGATAGATCCGAGTAATTCTTTTTCTTTTTATAATCTTCGACTGATCTCGAAAAATAATTTTCATGGTATTTCTTGGCTTATGAGTAATTCTGCTCTCTGTGAAACTGTTCTCTAACGTTATTGAAATATTATTTCATATTAAGTACCTATTAGAGCAAGGGTCGGCAACCTACGGCCCGCGGGCCGGATCCGGTCCGCAAAAACATTTTGACCAGCCCGCGAGCTTGATTATCAATGACTCTATTTCTAATCTGAGAGAAGAGGCTTTCGAATTAGACTATCTGCCAGTTATCTTTCATGAGACTTATTTTACCAAGTTGCGTTGCCTACGTTTAATGTCAAATAATGGATACATGTTTGTTATGACCCTTGGCTATATAAAAAGATAACAGAAGCGAAAGGAACGATAAAATGAAAGAGGCCAGGGAGGGACTGACATGCGAGGTAGCAGAAATCTAAAGACAGTTAAACATACGCGCATTATACATACATGCCTCATGAATGTGTGGATGATATCGCATGTGTACGTACGGAAGTGTATATATTTGCAACTATTTGTACTCGTATGCATGGGTATATGTGCTTCGTTTTTGTTTGATGTGTGTGTGTGTGTGTGGTTCGTTTGGGGAACAATTTTCAATAACAGTTTCAAACCTACACGTCATAATTTTATCCATTTCACTTCGGTTGATTTTTTTCACTTTGAAGTATTTTGACGTTCCTTGAGGAAAAGTAATTTTTGTTAGGTGTTTTTTAATTTTAGATTTTCTTTTGTTTTTTTTCTGATTTCTCAATGTTTATTTTCATTATGGTTTTAAATATTTAGGTTGACAGGGGTCTGCGTATGTATTTTCCTTAATTTTTCATTAATGGCCTTCGTCCCGTCATTTATAACACGATCCGGCCCGCGGGGTCGAATGAGTTGCCGACCCCTGTCTTAGAGAATGGCAAGTAGACAAGAATTAACATGTTCGACATCTCTTTTCTTTTAATCAAGATCATAAAGCTGTCAAAACTGGTTGAGACATATGTGCTGTTTGAAGATGGCTTCTTTACACACAGAATGGTACAGAAATAGGTTTCTCACTTCAAGAAAAAGTACTTCGGACTCATGGATTTTCCCTGTTCTGGCCGATGTGTTGAGTTTGATGAGAAATAATTGCACATGCTGGGTAAAGAAGAAGCACACCAAACACCTAAGGAATTGGTTAAGAAGATGGGAAACCTCTCATGTTACTGTTAATCATCATTTTCATTTAACAGAAACTTTTACTGCAAAATTTGCCTCCCCACCCCTATATATATATATATATATATATATATATATATATATATATATTTATAAAAATATAAAAGGAATCGGAAAATATAACTCCGATAGAAAAAATTTAAAGAATTCGGAGTTATATTTTCCCATTTTTTTGAATTTGTAGGTCTGATGAAATGGCTCAGATTAAATTATAACCATGGAATATTAGTGTTTGAGACTTTTTTTATTATATTCTTACTCTCTCCTGGACATTGACTTTAACCTGGATTCTATCCTCTTGGGAATTTATGTATACAAATATATATATATATATATATATATATATATATATATATATATATATATAATTGCTTTGATGTGAATCTGTTCACTGGGTTTCACGCCCATTGCGATCGTCAGAAAAAAAATCTTTATGAGAACCGCAAAGGGTTTGAAACTCAGTGTCACACATAAACAACGTCATATCAACGAAAATTAAATATTTCTAAAAGGTCTATCACTGAAAAAAGTTATATATAACATTTGTATATATAAATATATTTATATATATATATATATATATATATATATATATATATATATATATATATATATCATGTAATATAATACAATATAAAATGAATCAGAAAATATAACTGAAAAGAAATCATAGTTATATTATTCCGATTTCTAACATTTCTTTTGGATCGTGATAGGATTCAAACGTAATAAAATTAAAACCATGGAATATTAGTGTTTGAGCCCTTTTTATTATATTCTTACACTGTCCTGGACATTGAGTTCTAATAAATTCTATCCTCTTAAAAATTTATATTATATATATATATATATATATATATATATATATATATATATATATATATATATAATATAAATAATTGCTTTGAAATTGCAAATTTTGGCCTGGGTTTCACGCTCAATGCGATAATCAGAAAAAAATGTTTATGAGAATAAACTTAAAGGGCTTGAAAATATCACAAACTCATTCAACGCAACTAAATATTTTAGCTCATTGATATACTTAGCTTTTCAAATAAGTATTTTGTATACATAATATATAAATAATATATATAAAGATTGCATATATATATATATATATATATATATATATATATATGTTTTTTTTGATGTTCTGTGAACTATCTCAAGTATAATCGTTTATAGCATCTACAAAGTGCTATTTTAGGTCTATCAAAATATTGAGCGCTTTCATTAAAATAATGCATTAGAATATATATATATATATATATATATATATATATATATATATATATATATATAGGAAGGGAAAGGATATATTTGAACAAAAGCTAAAATTTTGGCCATTATAACCAAGTAGAATACGGTTAGTAAATCGACTGGTACGATCGTAGTCGTTAGGCAAGAAGTTTAGATTAATGGCGTAGTCCAATGGGCGTCGTTATAGTCTTAGCTTTCAAACTAAGGCTCTTTGACTTCCGTAAAAACGTCAATAAATATTTATGACGGACACCAGCCAATCATATTCCAGTGAGGGGTAAAAAGGTGTATACATATTCTATTATATCAATACATTATATATATATATATATATATATATATATATATATATATATATATATAAATAGACTGTTTTTTCCTTTTAGTAACACTGATCATACTGTGAAACTGTTGTCTTTCGTCAGTAAAATTTTATTTCAGATTAAACATCCTTGTGATTTGGAATGCCAAGTTGGCAAAAATAAACATGTTGAACATTTTTTTCTCTTTGATTTTCATTAAGGTAATAAAGCTGCCAAATTTGCTTGAGACAATTGCGCTGTGTACGGAGATGAAACACTTCTAAAGCAACCAAATGTTCAATGCTGTGTTATATATTGGAAAAAGAACCGATGCAAAGAAGCATTTCAGCTAAAATGACTGAAAATGATTTAGCCTTTTCCGTTTTCTACTACTTCGGTCGCTTTTTAACAATTTGAGGGGTGTTTTATTCGACAACGATGTGGATTTTAAAATGTGGTTTCATGTATTTTTCGAGTCAAAACCTAGGGATTTCTACCGTCAAGGCATTTAACTGTTTGTGGTTCGTTGGCAGGAGATAACTAACAATAAAGAGATAATCCATTGTCGATTGATTAATCAGAATTGTCAATAAATAATAAGTATTAAAATAGATAATAGAAAAAAACGAATTTATGTAACAACCTAATATTTATACCTAACACATCATGGCATTTTAAAAAGTGTCCTCTGCTTAAAAAAAAAGGAAACTTCAACATTTCCTTTACTTTAAAAGAAGCTTTGTTGACATGGGCAAACGATATGTATTAATTTACAGCCCCGTGTTAGGATATGTATAGAATATTAACAGTTTTGTGTAGAATTTAAACAAAATTTGGTGCTATCGTCATTTTTGCATTTTGATAATGTAACCTAGTAAATTTTCAATCAGGAAGACCAGCATCAATAAAGGTGTTTTCACTTGAATACAAATTCAAGAACAAATAATATTAAGCCGGAAATAAATGAGTGGCAAATTGATGCCAAAATTGATAACATTTTACATCTTCGATTTCACATAAGCTCTGCCAAGTAATCAGCCATCATATCACTTTTCCTCTTTCTAAACAAAGATGCGTTCAGCCCAATATGCTCAATTAAACCTTTAGATAACAATATGAAGAATCCATATAAATTAATCCAGGGATTTTAAAACTTAATATTTTATTTAATCTATGGATTATTTACTGTTCTCATTCCACTGCCCAGGTTTAGGGATATCTCGTCTAGTTCTTATTTTTAAAAACTGCTCAATTAATGCTTGCCTTGTTTCCAAAATCCATGTAAAACACTAAATGTCCAATATTGAACTGAACCGTTTATTTAATCTATGGGGTTAGACTGTTCTCATTCCA